AAAAAAAAAAAACTATTTAATTTTTTTAAACTTTCAAATTTCAGTTTAATGTAATATGTTACTTATGGATAACCATTTAAAAAAAAAAGTTAATTGCAACTTTTTATCTCACAATTCTGATTTTTTTCCTTGCAAGATATAAAATTATGAGCAAAAAAAACAAAAATCACAATTACAAGATAGAATTTCAGAACGGCGAGATATAAATGTAGAATTTCGAAATATGAACTCACAATTTTTCGCAATCAGTCAGAATTGTGAAATAAAATGTAACAATTACCTTTTACATTTCTAATTCCATGTCAGAAACAAACAAACAAAACAACAACAACAAAAAAAGAATGGCAAGATGAAAAAAGTCAGTATTTTGAGTTTATATTTCATTTCATTATGACTTCTTTTCCCAAGAATTGTTTATTTGTATCTTTGCTCTGAGTTTATATCCTGCAATTGAGATTTATTCTTTCTCAGAATTGTGAGAAAAAAGTCAGAATTGTCAGATAAAAAGTCGCAATTAACTTGCAGGAATTTACTTGCAATTTCATAGTGTTTCTGCAATGTTTTTTTTCAGCGTATGCCATTAGTGCCACCAAACCAAACTGCAAAAATAATGATCTTGTCAAACTCAGTCAATGATGGTGATGAGAGTTTGCTCGAGACGCTCAAACATGCGTCGCAGTGTTTCAGTCTTCAGGGAAATCAACCAACGAACGACTTACAGTCCCTGTAGTGCGTCTGAACATTGGAACCTGAAATTATTTTAACATTACACACATCAGCTGTAAACTTATTTTGAAAAATGTGCCTTTTCCAGCACATGCAGCAGCTCTACATAATTTCATTATTCCTGGCTCTCGCAGGACTCACTTACTGGTGTTTTTCCATCGTCCATCGTCATAAAGCAGACAGAAGCGACAGGCCGCCTGGCACACGTCAAAAAGCTCCTGTTTCCGGGCGGTCTTGGCCAGCGAACCCCATAATCTCACCCTGACAGAGACACAAACATCACAGAATGAACACGAGAGCAAACATTTCAGTCTGCGTTTCCCTCGGCGTCTTCAGCTCAGTCACACGAAATAACGAATGCCTCCTTCAGCTTTGCTGGGTTTATGCGCATGTTCCTTCCTTGTGGAAGAAAATAGAGAAGAATAACGTTTTTTTCCATCATAATGAAGTCCTGGTGGGCCTGTATGTTCCTGGCCTTGAGAAATGTTCAATGATGAACTCGAGGGTGAAGCTGATGGAGGGAATTCATAGCCTGCTTTATTTTAATGAACACATACAGTACACATGGCTTTGGGGAATGAGTAAAAATGAGCAGTTTTTAGAAATAAGAACTATGTTGATTTGTGAGAGTGATTTCATCATGCCAAACGTAAGGTTAACATTGAGAAATAAACTCATAATTACGAGTGTATAATGTTTTTGAAAGAAGTCTCTTCTGCTCACCAATACAGTAAAAATTCTGAAATATTATTACAATTCAAAATAACTGTTTTCTATGTGAATATCTGTTAAAATATAATTTATTTCTGTGATCAAAGCTGTATTTTCAGCATCATTACTCCAGTCTTCAGTGTCACATGATCTTCAGAAATCATTCTAATATACTGATTTGCTGCTCAAGAAACATTTCTGATTATTATCAATGTTGAAAACAGTTGTGCCGCACAATATTTCTGTGGAAACTGTAATAAAGTCTAAGTAGAATAAAAAATAATTAACACTTTAATTGATCAAAGACACCTTAAATTGATCAAAAGTGACATTTATAATGCTACAAAAGATTTCTATTTCAAATAAACGCTGTTCTTCTGAACTTTCTGTTCATCTGTGAATCCTGAAAAATAAAATGCATCACGGTTTCCACAAAAATATTGTGCAGCACGACTGTTTTCAACATTGATAATAATCAGAAATGTTTCTTGAGCAGCAAATCAGCATATTAGAATGATTTCTGAAGATCATGTGACACTGAAGACTGGAGTAATGATGCTGAAAATACAGCTGCGCATCACAGAAATAAATTCACACAGAAAACTGCTATTATTGTAATAATATTTCACAATTTTTACTGTATTTTTAATCAAATAAATGCAGCCTTGGTGAGCAGAAGACACTTTTTTCAAAAACATTTTAAAAATCTTCATTATTCCAAACTTTTAACCGGCATTGAAAATAACGCGTATTATAAATGTGCAACATAAAGCATAAACGCACACCTTTCTTTGTCATCTGAGCTCTTGTCAAGTCCATCCAAATGACCTTTGACCTTCTGCACACAGCTGCTGTGATGTTGGGCTTTAGCAGCGAGTAGCTCCACGTGATCTCCAGCTCCATCATCTAGAGAAACAAAATCAGCTCAATCTTGATCATCAGTGGAACTGCATGCACTGCCTTCAGGCCTGACGCCTCTAGTAGAGTTTAAAATGACTAAATCAATATCAAGTTCATCATGAGCTTCAGGCGCTGCTGACAGCAACATCATATCAGTGTGAGGATGATGAAGAAGATACTTATTTCACAGTATGACTAAATTCATATAACCACAACAACATTATATTACCATGATAGTTATTTTTGCTGGAAAGTCTATGAAAAGATAGTTGGCATATAAAACAACCTTGAAGTAAAATACTGCTCTATTAATTCGCCAAACAACTAAACTGCTTCATGCTCTGCCAAAAAAACACCCTTACTAACAAGAATTTGCTCACCTTTACTCGTTTGAGTATTTGCACATCACTCCTTGTTTTCTTATCAGTCTCAGTTGTACAATAGTATTTAAAATTTTAACATTTTTGAAAGAAGTGTCTTCTGCTCACCAGGGCAGTGTTTATTTGATCAAAAATATAGTCAAAAATTCGAAATATTATTAGAATGTAAAACAGCTGTTTTCTATGTGAGTATCTGTTAAACTGTAATTTATTTCTGTGATCAAAGCTGTATTTCCAGCATCATTACTCCAGTCTTCAGTGTCACATGATCTTCAGAAATCATTCTAATATGCTGATTTGTACCTCTCTCGTCTTGCCCTGTTCGGATACTGTTTGCCCCTGCCTGGACCTTTGCTTTGTACCTGGATTATCCCTCTAGTCTCGCCCCGTTGGATTATGTTCGCCATCGACTGACCCTCGATTGTTTACTGGACTGCTCTTGTTTTGTCTTCTATATACCTGTTTGCCATTGCCTGACCCTCGCCTGTTTTGACCACGCCCTTAATAAAGCTTGCAAATGGATCCGTACGTCTCACGTCTTGTTTGCCCCGTAACAATTTGCTCCTGTTTTTGCAAAAGAAAGAATGTTGTTTTTAGAAAAATTGGCTAGTACATTGGTAGGATGTGATTCAGATTTTCTTTTTTTAGCTGGAGATTTTAACTGTACAATCAATAATTTAGACCGAAATCATATTGAATCACATGGTTTCAAGAAATAAACTTTCAAGTATTCACAGATGAATAGAAAGTTCAAAAGAACAGCATTTATTTCAAACAGAAATCTTTTGTAACATCATAAATGTCTTGACCGTCACGCTTAATCAATTTAATGCATCCTTGATGAATAAAACCTTCGAACGGTTGTATATATCTACTGCTAAAATCTCTCTTTCTGCTGTTGCATGATATACTGTATTATTCTGCCCAGCTGTAATCATGCAACATTAAACAGTTCATACAAAATGAAAACACTAGATTTATATTTCCTGAAGAAGACGTCAGTCTTAGCACAGCAGCAGCAGAATCATGTTAAGTAAACTCAGGTATTAATCATTGGTGAAAAAAGACGACTATATAGGTCAAATATATACAATATATAAGAAAGAAGCAAACAATCATAATTTATTAAGATAGAAAGCCATTTGGAATTCACTGTGCAAATCATCCTATGTAAGATTCTGCATGCAAGCGCAAATATCTAAAGTATAATGTTTGCAAAAAACTAAAATATATAATGATTTCTAACATGCGTCTGATGTTTGAGAGCTGCACAGATTAAACACCATCAAATCTGTTCTACATTTCAGTGTGTTGATGCTGCGATGGGAATTAACAATTACAATTATGACCTATAGAAAGAAAGCCGAACATACAGTTGTAATTGTATTACTAATCAAGACAGTTGAGTATTAGCATAGAGTCCTACAAGTGAGATTAAAATATGCACAAACCTTTGACTTTACCATCAGCATCCAGGACGGTTTGGAAAGCATCAGGTGCCAGAGAGACTCCAGCACTAACCAGCAGCGGCCGTCGCTTTCTCAAAGCCTCGCGGCCGCTTCCCTCTTTCGCCTGTATAGATCACATCACATAATCAATACCGTACATACAGAACACCAGTGCTCTGATACTGAACCCAGACACTGGCCCATCTGAACAATGTGTTAAGACATCAAATGTGAGGACTTCAGATGCAAAATTTAAACATTTGGGGTTGGTAAGTTTTCTCAAATGTTTTTAAAAAAGAAGTCTCTTCTGCTCGACAAGGGTGCATTTATTTGATGAAAAATACAGAAAAAATTGTGAAATATTTTTACAATATAAAACAGCTGTATTCTATGTGAATATCTGTTAAACTGTAATTTATTTCTGTGATGCGCAGCTGTATTTTCAGCATCAATACTCCAGTCTTCAGTGTCACATGATCTTCAGAAATCATTCTAATATGCTGATTTGCTGCTCAAGAAACATTTCTGATTATCATCAATGTTGAAAACAGTCGTGCTGCACAATATTTTTGTGTAAACCGTGTTACATTTTATTTTTCAGGATTTTTCAAAAGTTCAAAAGAACATCATTTATTTGAAATAGAAATCTTTTGGAAAATTATACATGTCTTTACTCTCACTTTTGAGCAATTTAAAGGAATAGTTCACTTAAAAATAAAAATTAGCTAAAACTGTGCTCATCCTCAGGCCATCCTATGAATGAATGAATGAATGATGCATTTATATGGAGTGCTTGTGGATTATTGTGATGTTTTTATCAGCTGTTTGGACTCTCATTCTGACGGCACCCATTCACTGCAGAGCATCCATTGCTGAGACACTGATGCAATGCTACATTTCTCCAAACCTGATGAAGAAACAAACTCATCCTAATCTTGGATGACCTCAGGATGAGCACTATATGAGCATTCCTTTAATGCATCCTTGCAAGATCTTTCAGAAAAAAATCTTACTGACCCCAAACTTTTGAATAGTTGTGCATTTCCAATTCTGTCCAAAGTCTAATGCAGCGTTGCTTGTAAAATGCACATCAAAGTGATGTCTCAGAATGCAGAGCGCTACAAAACTAATGAGGTTTTGTTTCAGGATGGGTCGTTCATACAGGAGGACACATTCTTTTGTTACGTCTCTGTTAAGTTTTATTTTTAGACTTTGTACACCTGCATCAGACAGATGGCTTTTTCCACTGTGTCGCATCTTGCTGTTTTCAAGCATCTCACGCTGCATTTTAAAAATAGTTATTTTGAGAAACTCTGAAAAACACATAACGACATGTTTTGTTTCGCACTCTGTCTGGCTGCTTTTGCACACCAGAGCAGTGAGTGAACACTTAAGGAGAGCCGCTCATTGAGTGAGTGAAGCACCTGCTGGATGAGTCTGGCGGCGCGCTCCTCCGGTCGTGTGGGAGCGCTGTGGACAGAGGAGCGCAGCTGGAGGAGGTGTAAGGAGGAGGACAGGTGCTGGGAGTGAGGATCCAGCTCAAGGGCTTTCTGAAGATGCTTCATGGCAGATTCCAGCTTTTCATCCTCCTCGTCTATAGCAGCCAGTTCAGCGTGAACCCGACACAACACATCCAGCAGCAAACTGTGCACAAACACGCAGTTTAAACAACCACGACTTTAAATCAAGTCACATTTTATAGTGTTGTATACTAAAGCAATAAGCCCGTGAAGCCGTGGTTTACAGTGAATTTATAACAGTTAAGGGGTGTTGTTAGGCACGAAGCGAAGCGGAGTTAAACCCCCTTAGCTGTTATAAATTCACTGTAAACCACGGCTTCATGAGGCTTACAGATTCAAAACAGCTTCTCAGTAATAAACAGGAAAATAACGGAATCAATGTTGCAAACGTCTTCAAATATATCAGACAAATTCAAATTCTGCTGTAAGGCAGCTCTAAGGAAGACAATAGTGTCGTTATTCAGCTCAGTTCAGTTCAGTGTTGATTCTGTTCAATTCATTAACTGTAATGTTCATCAGTTCAGCTTAGCTAAGTGTCGTTATTCAGCTAAACTCAGTTCAATGTTGATTCAATTCAGTTCAATAACAGTGTCAATGTTGCACAAACATGTTGCTTGGGACTTAAATTTCAGTCTGTTCCTCACACATGACTTCATGCTTGACTATAGTACGTGAGACTAATTTTAGGACTTTTAAAGTGATCTTTTTGTCTTTGAAACATTTTTAAAAAGCGAGTTTAAATCTCACAATTCTGACGTCATAACACGCAATTCCAATTTTTAAAGTCAGAATTGTGAGATATAAGCTTGGAATTGTAAGAAAATAGACTTTTTTCCTCAGATTTGGACTTCATAACACGCAACTGCGAGTTTATATTTCACAGTTCTGAGAAAAGAAGACAGAATTGTGAGATAAAAAGACGCAATTACCTTTTTTTAACTTTTTTATTCAGTGGAGGAAACGGGCTTCCACAATAAATAATACTAAAATAATTTAGGAATATAGGAATGTTTTGTCCTTACACCACAAAAAAAAAAAAAATTATACAAATATTCTACACATAATATTCCACACTTCTCACATGCAACACAAAAGTAGACACATTTAGCAGAAGTTTTAGTGGCAAGGGGAAGATAATCAGTGATAGCGACTGATATTTAAATGTGTTTCTCAAAAAAAAAGCATTGCATGACTTCATAAGATGTAGAATATAGTGCATGTGACTAATTTTAGGACTTCTAAAGTGATTTTTTTGGGTCTCAAAAAATATGAATAATAAATAAAAAAGAAATTCAGAAAATCAGTTTTCAAAAAGAAAACCAATGATATATGAATAAATCCTAAAATAGTATTTTAATTATTGAAGCTTGTTATTGCAACTGAATAAAAAAATAAAAATAAATAACTGTGAATTTATTTCACAATTCTGACTTTATTTCTCAGAGTTGCGAGTTTATATCTCACAATTCTGACTTCATAACACGCAACTGCGAGTCAGAATTGTGATATAAGCTTGCAACTGTAAAAAATTAGAATTGGACTTTATAACTCACAATTCTGAGAAAAAGACAGAATTGCAAGTTTATATCATGCAATTCTGAGAAAAAAAGTCAGAATTGTGAGATAAAAAGTTGCATTTAAAAAAAAAAAATAGAATACTAAAAGAATATGGGTCATATTAGTCATTGTGCAAAAAATTAAAAAGCAATAAAAAAAATCTTAATCCCTATTTTTGTCACTCAACACTCAAAGTTTACTTCCCACATGCAACACAAAAGGGCTCATTTAGCAGAAGGTTTAGTGGCGAGGAGAAGATCATCAGTGATAGCGACTGATATTTAAGTGTGACAAAAAAGCATTGCATGACTTCAGAAGATGTAGAATATAATGCATAAGAACAATTTTTTTTTTTTTTTTTAAGGTGATGTTTTTGTCTGGTTTGGCACCTCTGGTCACTGTCTGCTTTCACTGGACGAATATGTTTTACAATCTGCTAAACGTCTCTTTTTATGTTCCACACAGTGACTAAATGTGACATAAGGGAGGAGCACATTTTCTCTGCTATCCAAAAGTAGACCTAAATAAGACTGAACTCAGATTCCCAAAGTAAACTGTATCAAGTGTAAAGGAGCATGTTTCAGACCTGTGTGTGTGCTGCAGCGCTCGAGCGAGGGTGAGCAGGGGTTTCTGGACTCTCTTTCGGAGGTTGTGTTGGAGAAGCGGCAGACATGCGTTCCACTGACACACACACACCGCTTGAGTCGCCCGAGCATCTGCTTGCTCCAGCGCCGTCTGCAGCACTGCATCCAACCGCATGATAACACTCGACCGCAGCTGCGAGAAACAACACCTGTACTCAACACTGATACTTCTCATATTTTATTAGACATGCATATGAAACAGATCTTCATCTGCACTCAGCACTGTTGGCCTTTTTTATCAACAGTCGCTTATTTAACACTCATTTAAGATTATCATCTAACTTTGGCTTCTAATGTGATATTTATGAAAACTTGAGAAGCAGCCAGCATTATTTTAGTATCATTGAAATACTATTACAATTTTTATTAATAGTTTGGATAATTTTTTATTTCTATATGTTCCCTTTTCTTTTGAGTTAAAACCCTTTTTAATACATTTTGTTTTTTAATATGTCTGTATAGCTTTTTATTCATTTTTATTTTGTTTTTTTAGTTATTTTAGTAAATCACGTTAAACAAATGGAAAATGAGAAATGTTGTTAAATTGAATTTTTATTTCGGTTAACATTTATTTTAAGTACTAAAATGCTTTGTTGTAGTTAATACCATGGAAATAATTAAATTAAATTATATTATTTTATTAAATTTAATTAATAAAATAATTTAATCATGAAGTTAATTTATTGTGCTCGAATACACCGTTAAAAATAGTTTTTGGTAATTGAAACAAAGCTGAAAAAATATAAACATTAGATGAAAAACATAAACGCTGCAAGTTAAAGTACTAAAATTACTAAAAACAAAAATGAATTAAAACTACATGGAAATGTTATTTCTAAAAAACGAAGTAACTATTTATTTACTTTATTCTATTATAATTCTATAGAATATTCTATAATCTATTTCTTTAAATAACTATTTTAAATCCCTATTTTTGTCTTGTTTTCCGGTATAAATATCTAAACAAATTTAAAACATGCTTAATTTCATTGAGAAGCACAACTATGTAAGATATTAATTAAGCAAGATATATTGAATTAAGTTGGCGAATTGTTTCTTTTTTAGCACATATTTATGTATATCGTTTACTGTTTTTACACATGCATATGGTTTTTACTATATTTAATATACTGTATGTCAAGCACATTGGCTGACATGAGTTGTTTAAAATGTGCTACAGAAATGAATACATGAAATGCAAAATAGAAATGAACAAATTGAACAGGAGCGGATAGAAAAATCAGAGCGTTGGCGCACATCTCTGCCAAAGTCTTGATTATTGCCAGGTTGTTTATATGGTTCACGAATCAATATTAATCTCCTGTTCAAACCACTATTTCCCAATACGTTCCCAATGCCTGAAACTAAACCGTCCACAACAATAAAACACGGAGGTCTTGTGGGTATGAGTGTTTGCTCAGTAGATGAATATAACAGAAGCAGCACCTCCACACTGGATCTGGAGTAATTCTGCATTCCCTCTCTGTGTTTGTTCAGCTCCAGCTCACACTGCACACACTCCGTCATTATGCGCTGAGCGACCTTCAGGACAACAACACCAGACCTTTGAGTTACAGAAATAACACCGTAAGCAAGGAAAGCAGCGCTTCGTGAGGAAACATGGAGTCTCACGGTGACATCTGTGGCTCGGAGCTCCTTCAGACAATCGGACGCTGTTTGATGTTGCTGTAACTGCAGAGAGAGGAAAGCCAGATCCAGCAGAAGCTCAACCCTGAAATCACGAGGGTTATAATAATTACACAAATATTTGAAAGCAATTCCTACTGGCTTTGTGGCTACAAAAGGTCATAAGTCTACCATGAGCTTAGGTGCGTACATGCTAGAGAAACGGAACAGATGATAAATAGGAATAATGCATTGTGTTTTGAGGGAGTGGGAAGAATCGGTCCGGTTGAAGTAATGCAGGATTGGATTTTTGTTGCTTCTCTTAAGTTCTCATTCCTCAGAGTGTGATGCAGCAAAACTTTCTGAACTTTTGGGCACATAATTGAGCACTGCTTCTCTTAAGACTTTGCAACGCAGCATCCGCATTGAAATCAATGGACAAAGCATCAAATCCACTGTGTAGACGCTCACAGAGAAACCCTAACATCAAAACTGTCTCTTGCATTCTGGTTTTGGCAGTTTTAGCAAATATACACTGCTGTTCAAAAGTTTTTATTTATCAAGGATGCATTAAATTAACCAAAAGTGACAGTAAAGACATTTATAACGTTATAATGATTTCTGTTTCAAATAAATGCTGTTCTTATGAACTTTCTGTTCATCTGTGAATCCTGAAAAATAAAATGTGTCACGGTTTCTACACAAATATTGTGCAGCACAGCTGTTTTCAACATTGATAATAATCAGAAATGTTTCTCGAGCAGCAAATCAGCATATTAGAATGATTTCTGAAGATCATGTGACACTGAAGACTCATAAATGCAGCTTTGGTGAACATAAGAGACTTCAGAGAAAAATCTTCTGCATTTAAAACTTTCTTTTGCAGGACCAAAAATATTAATGACATCATCTGTGCAATTAAATGCATTTTCAAAAATAAATAAATAAATTTTAAACTTAAATTTTAAATGCTTCCAAGCAATAGCTAGTATCAAATCATGCTTTGCTGTCGTGCTTAAATCTTTCAAGTGCAGTTTTGTCAGATGTGCCATAAACAAAGGAAGATCCTGAAGTCAAATAAACCTTGAGTAACGTTGCAGTGTTGGACGCACCTGTCGGTCAGTGGGATGGAGGAGCCGTGATCCAGACAAACACTGGAGCTGCAGGAGGAGGATGGACTCGAGTGGAGGACGCTGGGTGGTGCGCTGGTGCTCTGATTACAGTTTAACAGATATTCACATAGAAAACAGCTGTTTTAAATTCTAATAATATTTCACAATTTTTACTGTATTTTTGATCACATAAATGCAGCTTTGGTGAACATAAGAGACTTATTTTAAAAACATTGAAAAATCTTCTGCATTTAAAACTTTCTTTTGCAGGACCAAAAATATCAATGACATCATCTGTGCAATTAAATGCATTTTCAAAAATAAATAAATAAATTTTAAACTTAAATTTTAAATGCTTCCAAGCAATAGCTAGTATCAAATCATGCTTTGCTGTCGTGCTTAAATCTTTCAAGTGCAGTTTTGTCAGATGTGCCATAAACAAAGGAAGATCCTGAAGTCAAATAAACCTTGAGTAACGTTGCAGTGTTGGACGCACCTGTCGGTCAGTGGGATGGAGGAGCCGTGATCCAGACAAACACTGGAGCTGCAGGAGGAGGATGGACTCGAGTGGAGGACGCTGGGTGGTGCGCTGGTGCTCTGGGTGAAGGGTGGAGGACTGGATCCGCTGGATTCAGAGATGATGTTGGGTGGAGCACTGGATCTGTGGATGTCCGGTGGAGGACTGGAGGCCTGGAGGCCAGATGCTTTGAGTTCTGAGGACTGCGTCAACAGCAGGAAAATCTCCTTCAGTGTGGCTGCATCATCTCTCTTGGCTTCACTGACATCAACCGCACTGTGAAGAACATGCAAACACAAACACTTAGTCTCAAACAGTAGAGCATGGTGCTAGAAATGCCGAGTCATGGGTTCGATTTCTAAGTAATGCATACACTGACATGAAAAAATACAAACCCGGAAACATGCTTTGATTTATATTGCAAAGCAACTTACAGTATATAATGCAATTAACATCAAGTACACAAAACATTTGGATTTGTGCTCAATTTCAGTTTCTCTTTAAATAAGACTGGCATTTATAATCAGTGTTGGGGAAAGTTACTTTTAAAAGTAATGCATTACATATTGCGTTACTCCATAAAAAAGTAACTAATTACGTTACTTAGTTACTTTTTATGGAAAGTAATGCGTTACGTTACTTTTGTGTTACATTTTAAATCTGGACAGGGCTTGCTTGTTTGTTTTTAAAATAAAAAAGTTATATTTTTGGCAAATATAAAAGCCTTTTCACACCAAAAGTGAAATGAATAAGCCTCAGGCTGAAGGGAAAGTACATTTACGTCCGTACAGTAGAATGCAGAAGAATACATTTCAACACACTTCAGCAATAAAAAAAGACACACAAATGTTTGTCTAGAGTAATTGCAATGTAAGTAACTTTGGATAAAAGCATCTGCCAAATGCATACACATAAATGCAATGCAAATTTCAAATTAAAAGTAAGTAAAATCTTGAATAGTGGGTCTTTGTGTGTTTCAATACCATAATTGTAGAGTTACAGTATGCATCGATACGGCATTAATAATTTTTATTTTTGTAGCACCTTTCCAAAACCCAAGGTCAATAACTAGACAAATATAACAAACGTCCACAAAGTTCAGAGCTGTAGAGTAATATTCAGAGAGAGAGAGAAAAGAAATGTTTTAAAAGATTTCTGAAAGGAAGAAGGGCAGAAGCTTGACATGCATTGACATGTGCATTAATAATATTAATGTATGCATATACTTGCAGCTTCAGGAGGATAAAACAGCTGTAGAAATCTGAAAACAGTCTAACCTGGTTTTACAGAGAATCTATTTCCATTCCCATAAACAAGATTCTCTGACATGGATCAGAGTGACCCTGAAGATGCTGCTTCAGCTGCTGCGAACAGATGATGGGGCAAAATCCTCCATCCTTCATCGAAACTACACCGACCGTAAAAGCTCTGCTCTCTTTTCATTTTGATTCATAGCCAGTGAGATTTACTGCTACCACCTCAGAAGACACAGAAGCCCTTGCTGGACATAATTGAGCTGGTGTACTGTATATTGTGTATTTTATGCCACTCTTGTCTCTTGTGACCGCATTATATTCGACAGGTGGACAAAACCTCTACTGACTCGATACGCATCTGTAACCTTCTCTGAGGAATAAAGCGGCAGGATTTCTCTGAATTCTTATCTAATGCTTTTAAATAAATGATCTGATAACAGACCGAGAGAACCAGCACATCTAAAGCACAGCAAAAAATGTCTTATTTTCAAGTACAAATATCTAAACATTGTTAAATCAACATTTACTGGAAAAGCAAAGATGTTTAAGATATTAAGTTTTAAAAGGAAAACAAGTTTGTTATTCTGACCCATCGGCAGATTTGTTTTTTTTTTAAGCTTAAAGTCACTTAATTTATTAATTTTTTTTAGAAAACAAGACTTAATATCTTAATTAATTTTGCTTCTCAAGTAAATGTATCTTGATTTAACAATGTTTAGATGAATCCATTTTTAAATAATTTTAAAAGTTTTTAAATTCCTTGTTTTATTGTTGTGATTATTTTTTTATGATTATTTTACTTCCTTTTATGTAAAGCACTTTGAATTACCATTGTGTATGAAATGTGCTATATAAATAAACTTGCCTTGCCTTGCCTAGATATTTGTACTGTACTGGAAAACATGAAAATACTGAGTAAGATTTTATTTTATTTATTTATTTTTATTTTTTATTTTTTGCAGTGAGCCTAGCACCGTGTGTTAATGCAGTTTGGCCTTTGAAGATGAATATAAAACATTTAAAATGACCATTTCTGCAAAAAAGTCTAAAAGCAGCTGCGTGTCATTTTTGAATCTTAAAAATAATTCATTGCAACTCATCTATCTTAATGTTCAGAGTCACTTTAAGAGTCAAACACTGAGACTCTAGCCACTTTCGTACATTAAACACAATAATTTACCGTAAAATCGCCAGACTGACTTTTCAGATAAATGCACAACATCTATGTTCAAAAAAGCAACAACTATCCATCTTTTAACCATTAAGATCCTATTCACAGATCAGCACCAACACACCCATAAACACTGATGACAGTCATCAGAAATTATCTTCAAACCATTTTCTTCATCCACACGGATGTGAAAACGATAGCATTACAATAGAGCACAACAGAAAAAAGACAAGGCAATTTTCTAGAAAAGATTGTATGTGTGAAAGCACTTTCAAAACACTGATCTGTTTGTTTGAGCAACTGGGCATGTGAACAGGACACCTGTTTGTCCAAACTGTGGCCGACTGGGCGAGTTTTTTTTTTTTTAAGAAACCTGTTTGGAAACAATCACCATTTTTTCAATTCGGCTTGTTTCCACTACTGACACACAGCAGCTTTAAATAGGGCTTGATGGAGCAAGAAAATACTGTTTATTTACAGCGTAGGCTACACAACATAACACAAAATGTGTTGTTTTTACTGGAGAAGTTAAGATGTGATAACAGTAGCGATTCAAATAAAGGTACAGCGACAAAATGCAGCTGTATTTGAACACAAGTGATAAAATCACTGTTAATGTGAGCAATATCTTCCTTACTGTTTAAGCTTTTGGATCTTGTACATCACAAGCAACTTAGGGTTTCCATCATTCAGCATTTCAGAGACATCCATGAGGTTGTGTCGAACCTGTGGAGGAAACATATAACTATATTTACATTCATTCATTTAGCAGACGCTTTCATGTAATATATGACATATATTGCTCTATATCAACAGTGATAGTGCCATATATGTTACTTATAAGGCGATATATAATTACAATACAATACAATGTTTATTTATATAGCACATTTAAAACAATCTAAGTCGACCAAAGCGCTGCACAGAGTATGCAAAACAAAACAAGTCAACAAGTTTATAAACAATAAAACGCAAACTATAAAACACACACTGTAAAATCGATGAGGTTCACTAAAATAAAGGATCATTGCACAGCAAGTCAAAAAATATTAAATGCCAAGGAGAAGAAATAAGTTTTAAGAGTAGACTTAAAAATAGAATATAATTTCCACATACTGTATGCATTCTCTGGGTAGCAGGGTTATAATAGTTAACTAAAAAAATAAATGTTGTTATTTGAAATGTATATATAAAAAATATTTTTTAAATTATATAAATATATATAAAAATAAATCACAAAAAAAAAAAAAAGTTTATTTCAGCTAGTTGCCAAGGCAACATTTCTCATTTTAATCTAGTTTAACTTGATGTACTAAGATGACTAAAACTGAAATAAAAATGAATAAAAACTGTATAGACATAATAAGGCAAAACTAATTTTAAAAAATAAAAATTGATTCAAAATATTCATAAAAACTAATAATAATAATAGTATCTCAATGACACTAAAATAACACTGGGTAAATGAAGTTTATAAAATTTCCATCGTACAATTTGTATATGTACATATGTAATATCAATATGATGATTTCTGATGATATGAAGATTTATGGTATTATAAGTAGCAATCATGTATGTCAACAATATATATTTTATTTATGTATGCAACTTTATTTATTTCACTTTACAACAACATATATACAAAAAAACATTTGTAAACACATGTCTATCTTTTATATTTACTTATGTAATATCAACATGTATTGACGGGTTTTAGGATATACTGTACATGTACATGACATACAGTATATGTCCAAAAATGTATTACGCATTTATAACCATGCATATTTGTATGGGCTGGATATAATTATTAATATATGAAATTGCTCCAAATTTCGAATAGGTTTCGTATATGTTTTACTTTATATAATGCTATATTTCATACATGGAAATATATGTACAAATATTTCATTGCGTGTAAGGAGGAAACACACATGCAATGCATCACTACTGCAAGACTAAAACATACTGGATAACTAGAATAACATGCCTTTATTATGGGTGTGCATTAATTAAGAGCAACTAAATAAAATGAGCCAAAAACATGTCAGTTGTGTGGAGAAGGTTAGAAAAGACACAATATATTTTGGTGAAATAGAGCCTGAGTGAATGAGGATGGCTGCAGCTGCTTGAGCAGGATTAATAACGCAAGTGACACGCAATACAAAAGAGAAAGATTTACCTGTATGGAGAAAAGCCGGGGATAAAGCTCTGGTTTATGTGACTGTATAAAATCGGAGGTGACCTTGGCCATAGCAGCTGCTTCCTTCTTCTTCCCAGCATCGAGAAGACATTCAACAAGGTGTCTGAAGAGAAACACGAGATGAAAACAACATGAAATATGAGCCTTCACTCTGGTGTTTTACAGCATGCATTTGAAGTTCCAATGCAACCTCTTCCACAACAGACAGTAGAGTCAAGGCAAAGACCCAGATTCGATTTGAGATCAATGACAAGGCTCTTATAACTTATATTAGGGATGAGTTTCTTTTGTGCACCAGGATTACATGCCTACAACAATAAAACAGCCATAAAGGAGTTTGATCACATCGTAAAGATTTATTATGACCTTTAAAATCCATCTCTAAACAATTTTCTCAGAATAAGTGGCGTAAAACAGGCTGAACCCTGACAGAAGTGAAGGTGCAGCGTATCTGTGAGCTGCAGGATCAGGATCACTGGAGATCTGTGCCGTCAATTCAGCGCTTCAAAGGTCACGGCGGCGTCAAAAGAGCATCTAAAGGCTGCTTACTAGTCCTGATTATTGAGTTTCTTATCTTTGTACCACTGATTGCATTTGCTACCGTATCATATCATAAGTTTACATATGAATCTCATATGAACTATGCATAAAGAAAAACTTTTTAGAGTTAAATTCTCTACCGTAACCCTTTTTTTTTTAAATCTACATTTTTAAGTGAAACTAAAACTACCATAATATATACAAAATACTTAGACTAAAATTTAATATTTATGTATTTGCACTGCATATAAAATTTCCATGCATTTGGATTAAACATAGTTAACATAAACAAACTATTCAACTTATTATGATGCATATTTGTCAGTCATTCATAAATGAAACTGGTCAGATTTAATGGCATAGTTTATTATTAACTATTTGCATAATTAATTAATTCAAAATGCATTTATTTAAATTGCTTAGAATCAGCATAAATCTAATGGAAGACCGTTTCTGCCACTGAATAAAAAAAACGAAAAGATAATTTCGACTTCTTATCTCACAATTCTGACTTTTTCTTGCAATTGTGAATTTACATCTCACAATTCTCACTTTTTTTCTCAGAATTGCATGAAACGTGATCTGACTGTTTCCTCCCAAAATTTGGAATTTTTAATTGTGAGTCAATATCCTGCAATTCTGACATTATAAACCACAATTCTTGTTTCTTCAGGATTGTGAGATGTAAGCTTGCAATTCTGAGATACAAAAAAAAAAGTCGCAATTATCTATACATTTTTTTTTTCATTCTGTGGTGGAAAAGAAACTTTGGTAACACTTTACTTAAAGCCTTTATGTATAATGCATTATAAAAGTAGTTTTAATGCATGAATTATGCCTTGTGATGCACCTTATATTGCTTTGTACAATCTCATGAATAACTGTAACCACGGTTAATTCATTATACATTCATTGTTACACCATGCATTTTAAATTCGGTTATAATTATTTACGACAAGATACAATGTATTACAATGCACATTATGAATAATTATAATGCATTATAGCCTGTAATAACCATTTATAATGCATTATACATAAAGGCTTTAAGTAAACTTTCATATAAATCTGGTCATTGTGAAAACAACTACATTTATTTAGTTTAAAAGTGTGAACATGGTTAAACATGTCTAGCTGTGGAACAAGCAATGAGATTGAAACAAATCGGATTTACTGATGATACATATATAAAGCTGGTTATTATGTATTTAGTACTATTACAGAAATCTGACCTGTTGCATTTATGTATGACTGAGTTTATTCGTTTATGTTAAAACTGTATAAACCGAATGCATGGAAATACTTTATTTGCATAATCAGAAATGAGAATTGGAGGGGAGAAGATTTGATATATTATCAAATTATCAAAAAACATGCTTCATTTTCTTTATGTAAATTATGATTGCATTTTTCTTTTCTATGACATTGGACTGAATTATGACCCGGACTTCGTTCTTGACTGGTTTCCTGATATTCACTCACATTGTGTGCATAAAACAGTAATTAAACGTCAAACGTGAAGCCACCTACAGCATTAGCTCAGCCCTCCATGCGTGATCAGGATCCTGAACCTCCTCTAGAGCCTCGAGCACCTGCGTGAGAGAAGAAACCAGGAGCCGTCTCTGTCCAGGCCTCAGGAGCCGTCTGACGGACTGCAGGTACAGCAGCGAGGCGTTGAACACCAGGAAATGATATCTAATGAAGAAAGAACAAGGCGGGGGAGAAGCAGAAAGAGACGGGAATAAAAATAGTCGGATTAATTATTCAAGCTATCACTGTTGGGAAGATCAGAATCCGATTTCTCACTACATCTCAATTTATACTGCGAGCGACCTTAGATCTCAAAGCGTGTGAATGAGTAATGAGCGCATGAGCCTTTCAAAGAGCCACGGGAGGCCTCAATGTCCATGAGATATAAAGCAATTACTGCAGGATGGGCGAGGAACGCAACAAAAGATGGTTGAGGACTCTATTCCGGAGTCGCTAATTTATCCACCAGAGAACGGCAGCGAGTATCTGAGCTGTTTTCCCTCTGGCAGAGCCTGAGAGCCACTACAGAAGCAGTAAAGCAGTGATTACACATCCATCATACAACAATTACAAGTTTACAGTAGATATAACATCATCCAGCCGAGCCCTGTGCACTGGACGTCCCTTGATAGTTTGTTACTTTGCTAGTGTTCATATTTTAAAGTTAACTCCACGAGGAGTTGCTTAGTGTTTATGATTGATGATCTGGCATACTGCTTAAATATTTAAAATCTCGACACTCGTGTTAAAGCCTGAAACTATTTAATTTCCATTTCAGAGGCTGTTACAAGGTGTTTGAGGGTGTAAATTAAAGCTGTATATGTATACAACAAAAATGATATTTCACATAAAAAAAATTGGATTTTGTTGTTTCTAAAAGAAGTCTCTTCTGCTCACAGAGGCTGTATTTATTTAATCAAAAATAGTGTAAAAAATTGTTAAATATTATTACAGTTTAAAATAGCTGTTTTCTATGTGAATATGTATTAAAATGTAATTTATTTATGTGATCAAAGCTGTATTTTCAGCATCATTACTCCAGTCTTCAGTGTCACATGATCTTCAGAAATCATTCTAATATGCTGATTTGCTGCTCAAGAAACATTTCTGATTATTATCAATGTTGAAAACAGTTGTGCTGCACAATATTTTTGTGGAAACGATGCATTACCAAAAGTGTGAGGAAAGTAATATTTTACAAAATAAAGAAAGAAAAAAATTATACTTTTATTCAACAATGATGCATTAAATTGATCAAAGGTGAAGGTAAAGACATTTATAATGTTACAAAAGATTTCTATTTCAAATGCTGTTCTTTTGAACTTTCTATTCATCAAAGAATCCTGAAAGACAAAATGTATCACGGTTTGCACAAAAATGTGTGTAAAAAAAAATCACAAATGAGATCTTTGTTATAGTTCTCAATAGTTTCTCCTGTTGAAGTCTCTACTTCTCAGAGCCCTTAATCTCATGCGTCTCCTCTAGAGTTTCAGATGAGATCTCAATAATGTCTCAAAGCGTGCTCAGATTCGTCAAATGTGCAATCATCAAAAGTCAGAGATCGCAAGCATTTCTCATGAATTCCCCAATGAGTCTCCTAAACTATGAAAGAGTCATCTCTGAGCAATACGATGCTCCTCTTGGTTGTTTTTCTTGATGAAGTGGGTCACTTCAGACTTATTTTAATCAGGACAGGAGATGAGAGAGAAGAATCAGTTTCTCTGTTCGGATAGTTTACTCTACCTGGACTTGTCTTTGGCAATCTCAATCGCCTTCAGATAGTACATCACAGCCTTATCCAAGTCCTCCTGGAAACAGAGCAACAACAAAAATAGGAACAAAATTAAAGATGTGAGGGACAGATTTATTTAGCATTGAAGTATTTTGAGAGTGTATTGAGTGTACTCGAGTGCATCAACTTCAGAGCTCACAGAATGTCTGTCTTTGAAAGGTTTATAAGTTATCGTTAAAAATGAATTCCCTATGGAGAAAATGAATGGAGTTTTACTTCGGAACCCAACTGTTGGAATAAGTGGTTGTTTACTGTCTCAAGAGAAAAGAGTCTCTGTGAGATCCTATGTTTCCAGAGTTTCCTCTCATTATAAAGATCATGTTATATATTCTCAAACTGACACGTTTAGAGTTCAGAGGTCAAAGACTGATGCTCTTTAATGAGCCCAGCACACTGTTTGGACTTACCGCTGTGCTAATGGAGCGTGAGGAGATGAGCTGACCCTGGCACAGATATGCTCGACACAGGAACTGATTGGCTGGAGGTTTCCCTTCCAAGTACATCATTAAACAGTCCTGTGTGATTTCCCGACAGCCCAGCTGACAACACAACACACAACACAACAACAGATGATGAGTGTGTCAGACGTCCTGCATGCAGATCACGACCAGGTTTATTATAGTTAACTAAAATCATTGCAAATACGTTACTTGTAATAAAAAAAAACAATAACTGAATAAAATAAAATGCAAAATTAAAAAAAAGCTTATTTCACCTTGTTGCCAAGGCAACATTTGTCATTTTCATTTAGTTTAACTTGCACTAAAATAACTAAAAATGAAATTTTTTAAAAATAAAAACTACATGTATATAGACATATAAAAAACTACTAAAAATGACAAAAAGACAAACAAATTACTACAACTTTAACTAAAATTAAAGTGAAAACAGAAAATTCCAAAAATAAAAACTGCTTTAAAATATTCTTAAAAACTATAATGATACTAAAACAACACTGATCTCAACACACAAGCTCAGACCAAAAACATGAAATGCATTTTATTATGTGCACAAAACTTATTGAAATAGCCTAATTTATTAAAAAAAATATCTGTGCACACTATGCTTTTTTTATGCATATGCCATTATTCAAGTTCAGTTAAATTAACAATATACGTTGTTTCAAAACAGCTTCAAAGAAGCTTTAATGTTTATGATATCTTAATATCTTCATGCCTTATAGTTGCATTTAGCAGATTAGAGCTGGATGGGTATACAGTTATTTTGCAACAATATAAACAATGCAGCAGTTGAGATTTGCTATATAGTACAGTATGTATCCCTTTGTGTGTATGTCCTGTATGAATGTGGGTAAAATCTAACTTTATTTATAGATATGTTATATACAATAACATAACTGCATTTTGCGATGATATAAACGATCACAGCTGAGATTTGACATGCTAATGTAAACTCTATAGGAAATCAATTGTGAGTCATGTCACCTTAAACACTGAGCACTATTTGTGTGATGCACAAAGTTGCTGTCTTGTCAGTCACTTATGAGGTTTCATTTCAGTTAGGGTGCTGCCTATGAAGGCAGATCGCTCACTAGTTTCTGGAACAGAACCATCTGAGACACTTGCCATCAGAAACGTCTCAACTAATGAAAGCCCTAAGCCTCAAACATACAGTATCTCCCAGTTGGCAATACATATTTTGCCACATCAGGAAGCACACAATGGCTCTTGGAACTTTTTTAAGTGCTTGGGTGCAAAAAGTAAGAGTTTCAGCACAAGCTCCTGTGTTCAGCTTACGTCAGACAAGCGCGGTATATATTATACACTCCTTCACTTCTGAGGGGAATTAATTCACAATGCTCATAACCCGCGCTGTCTCTGTATGAGAGTTATACTGCTCGCTTATCTGTTTAGGATTTCTCACTTCACAAGTCATTGAGCAAAAGCCTGCTCAGCTCTATTTGTCAGCTTTTCTCTTCTCAGGAAGGGACTCAAATGATTGCTTTTTTCTGTTGGTCGAATGTGACATTTGAATTGTGTCAGCATGTAAGGGATGATTTATACACATATTTAAGGTGATATGACAACAAAATTGCTCTCTCTTCTGCTCTTGTGGATGACCAAGCAGTTTGAAAACACTTCCATATCAGCTCTATGTTTATAACTTATGTTTCACGAGTGCAGATAGACCACCTTGTTTGCTCCTTCATTGCATATCAGCTCAGAGAGGCATTTATTTTAAAATAAAATATAGAAATTACTTGAAAAGTGAAATAAAATGTCTAACGGTTATTTAATAGGCCTATGATTGAAATTGGATGTGGTATAATTACTATTTGTACATGGTCTAAATAAAATACTGCTATTTTCACTTAACTGTTCCTAATGCAAAAAAATATCTAATTAAGAAGATACTGCTATTTTCATTTAATGAACTTAATGCAAATAGCATCCAAGTACTATTTGCACTTCATGTAAAGAAAATACTGCTATCTTTACTTAATTCACTTATTGCAAATAGCATCTTATTACTATTTGTGCTTAGTGCAAAGAAAATACTAAATTAATTTTATGCAAATAGCATCTAATTGCACCTAGTGTAAAGAAAATACAATTATTTTCACTTCATGCATTTAATGCAAATAAGATCTAATTACTATTTGCACTTTGTGCAAAGTTGAATGCACTGCACTTAATGCAAATTGCACCTAATTACTATACGCACTTAGTACAAAGAAAATCCTGCTATTTTCACTTAATAAACTTAATGCAAATAGCATCTAAATACTGTTTGCACTTAGTGTGAAAACATACTGCTAGTTTCAATTAAAGGCAGAGTAAGTGATTTTTCAAAAACACTTTAGAAAACTGATTCGGGCCGAATCGCAAAACAAACTTGTAGCCAATCAGCAATAAGGGGCGTGTCTACTCGTGATGTGGAGGAGAGCGCATTCAGTGGGTGGGGCAGGGGCAAGACCCTTTTGGGGTAGGGGCGTGGTTGTTTTGGTGATTTCAAATATCAACATTGGCTACCAGAAATCACTTACTCTGCCTTTAATGCATTTAATGCAAATAGCATTTAATTACTATTTGCTATTTTTACTTGATGAACTTAATCCAAACAGCATCTAATTACTGTTTGCACTTAGTGTTAAAGGTCTTGAGGTGAATCTCGCAAAACCTGTCAAGAACTTGTCCAGGTCACTGCAATTTACTGTATTCTAAATTAAAGTATATATTTAAAAAAAAATAGTGTATTACAGTATTACTGTATTGAGAATCAGACTTGAGAATAAGAAGAATTACAAAAATATTGCATGCAAAACATCTGGACGCCTTACAGTAATCATATTTTTAAGGGTAAAAGGCATAAAAAAATAATATCGCAATGCAATAAAAATCTGTAAGTCATGACAAAACGTTTTATTTTTCTTTAGGGCAAAATATAATCATTTCTTTTTGGGGTTGAAATATAGACATGTTTCTGTGAGATTCTCGCTCTATAAAACGACAGCACATTTTGAGATAAGCTGTTGTTACAATAATCCTGCGCTACACAAAAGGGCCGTGGAGGCGTGACAGTGAGGCAAGAGAGCCGTGGCTGTTATCTAACCCAGCATTATGTCTTCAGCCTGAGAGCAGAGCGCTGCATTACTGTGAAACTCAAACCTCGCTGTCACACACTGAGATGCAGCAGGAGGGTAAATTCTGCAGCATTTCTCAGGTGTGTGTTCAAGCAACCAGCAGGGAAGAGGCTTATCCTACGCTACGGTACTTTCTTCAAGTAAAGCATCATGCGTATCCAGCTAGAGCTTTGGATTTCTTCACACCAGAAACACTGTGAGACAGTGTATTTACTTTCCTTATCAATAAAGATTTAAAGGAATAGTTCATCCATAAATGAAGATGTGCTCATCACTAAGATCATGATCCATCATTAAGATGTTTTTAACTAAAATCCGAGTCCATAATCCATAATAACGCTTCCTCCAGTGAAAAAGTGCATCTGCTGTTGTCTCTCACATCAAAATCCAGCCACATATTTGTTTAGAGCTGTTTAAACGCTGCTTGATCTGTGCAGATTTCTCTCCTGATTCAGACCAGAACACTTTTTCACTGGAGGAAGTCAAGTGTTATTATGGATATGGACTCCTATTATAACTCATCTACATCTTGGATGGCTTGAGGGTGAGCACATTTTCATTTTTTTTGGGTCAACTATTCCTTTAATATCCTTGTCAGATTATATGGTGGATGGCAACAGTTGCTACAGTCTGACTGGTCAGTTTTCAGAGGCGGGGCTTCATGGATCAATTGTAAGAGAAACACACTGCATTCCTCCTGTTCCATTTCTTCTGCACTTACTATTATATAAAACGAAAGCGGTTTGCATAATTTCCAGAGCATCCTTTTTGTGGACATTCGCGGCTTTGCCATCCATTCATTTCCATAAACAGCTGCCACTTTACTGAAATTAACGAAACTATCAAGACCTCTACTGATGAATAATCCATGCATGTGTATTGAATAAATATAGAGTGAATCCAGGTAAACTTAGTGCCAGAAAACAGCATAGTTCTGCCTGAAATGAAGCAGAAAGTAGATAGAGTGGCTGATTAATATCTCAGAATGTGCTGGGTGGTTTATTGTGGCACCTGTAGAGATTGTTCAGCGCACAGCACACGGAGCTCAGACAGAGATCTGCCATCAGACGCTGCTGCAGCTGAAGCTCGGATCAGCTCATACGCTTTCCTCACATACTCCGCATCTGACAACAAGACAGGGGGAAAAATACACAAACATGACATTTAATATGGGAAAAATGAGCTGAGAACACACCTCAGTCTGCCTTTATCATACAGACTCTTGTTGTAATATCACAAGAAATGTGAAATATTACAAAAACATCATTTCTAAAGAAATAATTCACTAACGTTAGGTGTTTAAAATCAACAAAACACTGCTAGAGAAAACAAACATTTGTGAACTTTGTCTTTCTCCATGTGACAACTAGCCCCTTATGAAAGCGCTTTCAATATAAGATAATAAAACTAACACTAACTAACAATATAAGATAATAAAACTAACACTAACTAACAATATGAGATAATAAAACTAACACTAACTAACAATATAAGATAATAAAACTGACACTAACTAACAATATAATAAAATCCGCGCATTTAATGAATTATCGACTAATAAACACATAATTACCTCTTTTCTCCTGAGCTTTTGATAAATATTGTCGGATGCGAAGATCCATTTCATGCTTCAGAACAGCGGCTCCGCGGTTAAAGTTGACGTTAAAAAGAAATCTATTGATTTTTGTTTATTATTTACTTCTTGTTTATGTTGAGTGTTGCGCGGAGTAACTACGAGAGGTTGGACGCGTCTCTTAGCAACGGGACGCTGAACGGAAAGCGCGCAGGGTCAAACGCGTTTCCTAAAGCAGTCCAGACTTAAAACGTGCTGTAAATATTAAACGTTTAATATCACTATTGAAATGTTTAGGGCATTATTTTAACTAAATGTAACATATGCATGGATTAAAAATAACTATACATTACAAAAGGTGCAAATCAGCGTCCATACCGATTCTTTAACCTGTCATTTCTTTCAAATGTCTAACACTTTAATAAATGTTTTATTTTTATTTTTATTATAATAAAATAAATAAACGCAGAATATGCCTTTTTCCCTTCAGTTCACCATCCATCCCTGAAAAAAATAATCAATGTCAAATTTCCCTTGATGTTTGTTATCTTATTAACCAAATCCTGATGAGATGCAAATATTAGACATGGTTTATCTTCAGTGTGCTTCAAAGACTTCGATTAACTGTGAGATTTACAGTAGTGCATCTGAGGTGAAAGTATATGTGCTGAAAGTTAGAATGAGCTCCGAACATCACTCTTGATTTAGTAGTTTTTAAATTTGGCAATACATCATCTAACATCAATCTGAATTTGGTCAATTACAGCGAGCTCTTTTGTTCTCAGCTGGTTGTACATTGGTTTGCAGTTGCACATCTAATGGCTCTTTGGGGATGAAGTCTCAGTGTGAAGCGTGTTTTGTTAATTCAGCAATTCAGTGTTTGACAGGCCTCTGTTCAGCAGCTGAGAAATCAGCATCACTCCTGGAGAAGACACTAGAAACACTCTCTCATGTCAAACACTGAGTGGACAGAGAGACAAGCAGTCAAACCGCTTCTGTTTGTTATCGCATCAGGTTTAGGGAATATTTCAGGGGTTCAGATATCAAGAGATAAAGAATAGAAGAGAATAGAACAGTCAGAGCTACAGTATTGCACATTATTTCTACTTAAACTCTTACCTCTGTTGCCAGGTTAATCATTCTACTTTAACCCTGTAAAGTCTCATATATGATGTAATAGTAAGAAAAAAAAAACTGAAATAAAACAGTTTACTGAACTTTTAGAGAAAATACAAAAAAAAAAGAAAAGAAAAAAAAAAGAACAAACGAACGAAAGCAAAACCTTTGCATGTGTGTTTCTGTTGAGTTTAATATTTGATGCATCAGGCTTTTATGGATCATATAGGCTGATACAGTGAGATTATGGAGGAAAAAAAACTTTTTTTTAATTTTTTTTATTAAATTTTATTCAGAGACTCAAATTGAGCAAAAGTATGAATTTGCTGCAGATGCTGATATTTCTACGATTAAATTCTGCTGCTTGTAATGTAAATCGGTGAGATGTTTCTAACAGTACACTCTTAAAAATAAAGGTGCTTCACAGTGATGCCATAGAAGAACCTTTTTGTCTAAATGGTTCCATAAAGAACCTTTAACATCTGAAGAACCTTTCTGTTTCACAAAAGCTTCTTTGTGGCGAAAGAAGGTTCTCCAGATTATAAAAAGGTAAGAAAGAGACAGATCTTTAAAGAAGCTTTGACTGAATGGTTCTTTGTGGAACCAAAAAAGGTTCTTCTATGACATCGCTGTGTAGAACCTTTTAAGCACCTTGTGTAGAGCAGATACTGTCATAAAATGATCTAAATATCAGTCGTCGCTCTATATCTCCAATAATCTGTCTCAGTTAGATGAGATTGAAATGATCCAAACATATAATGCAGTGATTGAGAGCTGAAGAAATAAACGCTCGTGTGTCAAATGTTTGTGAGAGTTGTGTATGGGTAATGACTCTTTAAAGTCTCTATAAAGTTTGGCAACCCTTTCGAATCAGCTTGGCGATCACAGATATTATATTATATTGCACATCTTCAGTCTGTCATCACTATATTACAACAGACGAGTCTTTCTGTCAACCTAAACCTATTTTCTGCTATCTGTATAAAATAATACATTTGTTTTTTATAAACAGAAGTACAGCGAATTCATGACAATGTTTTACATTAAGCTACCCATAAATGTTATAATGAAAAAGTTCTTAAAAAGCATCTAGTGAAGAAATGCTAGTAATTTTTAAAGTTTTTTTCCCCCCAAGTTATTTGTAAAACATCTGCTGCATGGATAAAAAAAAGTAAATGTAAAAAAAATCTGCTATACATATATCAGTCAAAATTGTTCTGAGAGAAAAAAAATCATCAGCAAATCCTTTGCATTTTACGGTATTTAGAACAGAGCAAAATACAAATCAGAAAATATAAGCAGCTATAAAATGATCAGTTATAAACAACATATAAACATCTAGAAAAAAACAAACATTTATTTAAAGAGAAATGTACCTACATCTCATTCTGCACAAATACAAATGTTTCCCACGAGAGGCTCCGCCGCAATCACTTGGATTTTTTTCCTTATTACAGTGGAAATGACTTGAAATCTATCATTTTGGTTATACAGATAAGAATAGGACATTAATAGAAAATGTAAAGGGTTTACTTTGAATGGGTATGTTAATGGGTCACAAAAACGTATCCATTCCAATTTAATTTAAATCTAATGTTTTTCTCAGTTAACGGTCAATGATTGGTTAACGAATGTTGGGAGTCGGTCAGGAAAATGAACCAAAATGAACATCCCTAAAGTTTTTGTTGTCCCCATCACGCAGTCTGTGTTGATTGTATGACTGTGACGTCTCTGTAGCGGCTCCTTATTCACCATCAGCTGATCCTGAGGAAACTGGACTGACGGCTAAATACAGAGAGTCCTACAATAAAACACACAGACAGTCAGATATGAGTATGAGACATTACTGCTGCCACATCAGCAGATCCATTTCAGAAACACACGGTATATTCATATTACAACCAGAGATATGAATGAACAACTGATCATAGATTAAAAACAGTAAATGATCAACAACTAGATCACTTAGAGACTCTGTCAGAGATTAAAATATTCATATATTCTTCAATCATTCACATCACAGAATTAAACACATTTTAAAATACAGAAGACTAAAGTGTAGATGAATTATTGTCTTATATTCTCCAATCACACACACACAGGAGGTCTGTTACTCAATTTAGAAACTTTAAATAAACACACACTCACAACAGTATAATGTCTCCAGTTTATAATGTGGATCCATCCTCAGATCAGAGAGTAACATCACTGAATCTCCTAGTTTATTCAATGACAGATTCAGTTCTCTCAGGTGTGAGGGGTTTAATCTCAGAGCTGAAGCCAGAGCAGCACAACCTTCATCTGTGACGCCACAATCCCTCAACCTGTAGAGAACAATGACACAATGTGAATTGTAGTTGAAGTGTCTGTAGTTCCCCTTCAGGAACTCGAGCTGCGTTGAACGCTTTGGGAACGCCCCTGGCGAGACACCGTACTGAAGCATGTGTGAAATCAGTCCAATAGAGAAGCGAGACGTCACGAGCGGGGTGACGTAAGCAGCCAGGAAGCATAAAGGCGCATCCGGCAAGCACGCATGTTTGCTTTTGCTCTTCAGCGAGCGCGTCTGTGGTGTGTGTGTGAATGTATGCAAAGCACTCAGTCAGTAAAAAAAAGTTAAGCGAGAAAAAAAGAATGCCAAAGACTAAATCAAAAAAGAATGTGGCGAGCAGACGACGTTTCAAGTCGTGTGTTCCTCCTTGCCCACGTTATATATCGGGTGAATATACACACGATTTGTGCGTCATCTGTTTGGGAGCGGAGCATGCACGGGCAGCTCTCGAGGGGGCTGCCTGCCATGATTGTGAGCTTCTCCCGCTCCGTGTGCTTCGCTCCCGCCTGGCCGTCTTCGATGAAAGCGGCCAGGCTCGCGATCCTGCTGGGTCCGGCCCCGCTGTTGCTGAGGCACAGC